CAAACTGCAGCAACAAGTTCGCTCTTCTTCTCCTCTTTTTTGCTGCTGCTTTGGGCGCATATAACTCAGTGACGGAAGTTTACTTGGGTACAGGGTATTACACTGTCGGGCTTGCTCGACTGTAGCGTTCTCTCTTCTTGTTTATAAAAGTTGCCAAGTTTCATCATGATAGGTCAATTGTGAAGAAAGTTATAGCCATAAACCAAATTGGAGGTCAAAATTCCAAAAATTACGGGAGTTATGGAAAAAACACACATTGCTCGGGAGTGGGGGGTGCATCGAAAAAAAAAAACTCAAACACGTACTTTCTAGGACTTTGGAGAATCTGGATATCAAGTTCGGTTTTTCTAGTTCTTATACCTTCTAAGATCCTTGCGTTCATAAGGAAGGACAGACGTACACGGCTAAATCGACTCGTATTGTCATCCTGATCGATAATATATATACTTTGGGGGCCTCCACGCCTCCTTCTGTATGTTACATACATTCGCACAAAACCCTTTCCCCCTTTGGGTACAGGGTATTCAAATTCGCATAGAAAAAAATTTAAATTTTCAAATTAATTTAAAATTTCAGGTTGTATGCCATTATGATTTGGATTCCTATAGCAGATTTGATTGAAATACATGGTTGTGACTATTTTGACACTGTTGATCTAACAGGCAGCAAGAGATTTTCCAACGGCTCATATCTATATGAGAGGGTGCTCATTCCTCCATACCTAACCGGCGAATATGACTATGAAATAATATTTGATGACCACCGCATTAATGTTCCGCAACACGTCCGAGGATGTGTGTGTCAGATGAAAGCCTGCATCCGATTTTGCTGCCATCCTCAGCATCTGCTTGTTTTCAATAAGCGGGAATGTACAAGCGTGCAGCCAGAGACAATTTCATATAGTCCGTATGTAAATATTACTTTTGACCATCATAAAGTGGTCCAAAAAAATATAACTGCAGAGTTTGTAGCGCAGCATGGGCTCCCAATACCTTGTGCCATCCATTATGCACTCCACCCGGAACAGGATGTCGCAGATAATTGGAGCTTGTTCGAGGTTCGGGTTTAATGGTTGTCATTTTTTGTTGTTAAGACGGGAATGAAACTTTGTATTTACAGAATGGAACACTACTACGCCACTATGATAGAAATTATATGTCCAAGATGGACTATTGCTTGCAGCCGGAAAAATTCGATGGCCATTATAAGCTTACCGTTCACAATTGCGGTATAGCTGTGGCCGAGAAATGGGACAAAATTATGTGCAGATATGGTAATCAAAACGAAGCTTGAGCTTGGAATAAAGGGCGATCCCAGTCGGGCGCTGATTAAACAATATATTTATATGCATTTCAATTTCAGTTATGATATGCTCCATAATATGCATTATTTTAACAATTTTTGTATACGTGCTCCTACCCAAGCTTCAAAAACTTCATGGTAAGTGTTTTATCTGCTATCTGTTAAGCCTAGGAGTCGGATGTACTGCGCTAATAATCGACCAGGTGGGAGATTCGGAATATTGTCTTACAACTGGTGAGATTCCGAAACTTTCAAAAATGGTTCAGCTGCCTGAACTTATTTTAATTTTTTAGGTTATGTTGGCTATTTTGCAATTATGGCTGCTTTCCTCTGGTTAGCTATAATAAGCTTTGATCTGTGGAACACATTTCGGGGAACAATACGACATATGACAAAAGCACTCTTCCTTTCCTACAATATCATCGCCTGGAGTACTGCATTAGTACTGTTGGCAATTGTGTATGCAATGGACTTTATAGCTACTGAGGACACGCCTCTTCTCTGGATACCAGGAGTTGGATACTATTCGTGCTGGATTAAAAGTATACTTGTAATGTCTTCTGGATTATATGCTCTAATATAACCTTGAGCGTCTTTTTCTGCAGCTGAAGATTGGTCGGCGATGATATATTTCTATGGTCCCATGATGCTGCTCATAATTTTCAACGTGTCCATGTTTATACCGACAGCGGTACGCATATATAAAACCCAGAAGGAATTTCAAAATATAGTCGGCCAAGCGCGACATCGAAAAATGGTGAATGAGTGGCAAACGTAAGGAAATACATAAAGTTGATGGTGTTGTCCAAAATGTCTTCCATATTTACCTACAGGTTCAGTCTTTTTCTGCGATTGTTCGTAATCATGGGCGTGACCTGGATTTTTGAAATATGTTCATATCTATCGAGTAACCACAGCACACTCCGGAAATTTTTCATTGTTGCAGATCTGCTAAATTCAGCACATGGCATTCTAATATTCGGCTTATTCGTCTTAAAGCCTAGTGTTTGGAAACTTTTATTGAATCGGTAAGTAAATCGATCGAGGGATTCAGCCTTACAGTCGCTTTGAAGCGCGCAAATGAGATTTTTGTAACTCCGATTTTTGTTTTATGCTAAAGCATACAAGGTAAGCAAACCCCCGAGGAAGCCGATGGGTCGGAGGAAGACATCTCGCAGCAAGAACGGGATGGTGACCGAAGGGTATTGCTATAGGTAACACAATGTGTTTGATTTGGTCCAGCTGGGTTTCTGTATGCACTCGAAATAAACAAACACTACTAACTTAGCCCGCATCTTCATGAGTGGTTTTGAGTTTTGTGTTGGGGGGCGAGGACCGTAAAAATTTAAACAGTCGTTGCAGGAATTTCTCTCCGTTCGGCAGAGTAAATAAATGAATAGCATTCTGTAAGTTGTTCTCCGAGGTAAAATCAACGCATATTAATGTAACTAATTCTCTTACATGTTTGCATTTATTTGCGATCTTACATTTCTGTGTTCAATCTCAATGTTTTTTCGTGCCTTCTGCATAGACGAGATCGGCTGTTGCGGCTTGTACCTATCCGACCTTGCCCTTAATTGTTATGCTTTCACATTTCTATCTTTCTTTCAAACCTATGTTATTTAATAAAATACTTCGCACTCACATGGAGGGTTTGCCTCATTTGATGGAATATTTATAGGGACACATATTTGGATGCGGACCTATTGATGTATTTCATCCATCATTTTAAAATTATAAACTTCTACATTGAAGCGAAGGTTGTTTCCGCTGGTATTTTTGTTAATTTATTACATTTTAAATATGAATGAAATTCATTCTTCTATGTCTCCTGTTTGATACTCGTATCTTACCTCATAACAACCATTTTTATTGTTATACCCTGTACTATATATTATTGATCAGGATGACAAGCCGAGTCGATATAGCCATGTCCGTTTGTCTGTCCGTCTGTCCGTTTGTCTGTCCGTTTGTCTGTATGAACGCAAGGGGAATCCAGATTCTCCTGAGCCCGAGAACGAACGAGTTTGTTAATTTTTATACCCTGTACCCGTAGGGTAAAAAGGGTATATTAGGTTTGTGCAAAGTATGTAACATACAGAAGGAAGCATCTCCGACCCCATAAAGTATATATATTCTTGATCAGCATGACGAGAGAAATCGATATAGACATGTCCGTCCGTCTGTCCGTCTGGATGAACGCAAGGATCTCAGAAACTATAAAAGCTGGAATAACCAAAGTTGGCATCCAGATTCTCCTAGGTCCGAGTAAGGACGAGTTTATGTTTTTTTTTTTTAATTTTCCCCCCCTTCCCCCGCTACAGAATTTCGTCAATAGCGTCCACATTTCAAATGCTACCTAAACCAAACTTTGCACACATAATTTCTATATAATTATCTACTGTTGTATAAAATTTTATTCAATTCGGTCAATTCTAAGAAAAGTTATTAGCGAAACAAATTCTCGCCAGTACAACCCCACCAAACTGCAGCAACAAGTTCGCTCTTCTTCTTCCTCTTTTTGCTGCTGCTATGGGGGCATATAACTCAGTGACGGAAGTTTACCTGGGTACAGGGTATTACACTGTCGGGCTTGCTCGACTGTAGCGTTCTCTCTTGTTTCTAATGTAATGTTGAGTTTGTGCATATATGTATGTATGTACATATGTGTGTGGTTGCAATGGTACAAATTCCTTGCATTCCATTGCATACTATGAAAGTAAGAACTAGTCGCAACTATTGTCAAGAGTTTTTATGTGCTCGCACATACCTACAAGTAGAAATGCATTCGCACACATTCACATACATATGGACATTTCAACACCCACATTGTTGGTGGCAGTACAGGATCCAAAGATGGTATTTTCAACAAGATTGGTTGTTCGTAGGGTGTACGTATTTTAACCGAAAATTGGATTGATGAGAATTCAAATTCATGGCAATATGTATATGTTTTAACTTGTTTGTACCGTTCAATAACTGAACAATGTAGTTTGTAAAAGTAAATTGGCATCCCTCTTTGCAAAATACTTACTAATTTATTCCTGTGGCGTAGTTGTTTACATACACGTATACTTAGAAAGAACATACACTGTTTTCGTTTGGTTTTACAAGTTATCTGTTTGTATTATTCGTTTAAGCTCTAAAGTCCTAACGTTTTCACTTCCTTTGTTGTTTTACTAGGACATAAGTCCTTGACCTTTTTGCAATAACTTTTAGTTTTGTCTTGCACTTTCTTGCACAGCATGAATTAATTTAAGTAACTTTAAATGAATTTTAAAACTATTATTATTATTTTCTAGATGCTCGCGACCCTCGTTGCCATACTATTGGGAGCTTCGTAAATTACAATCGGACACGTCTTAAGATGATCAATGAACTCCATAATACCGCCCGCCAAAATATACATATATTACTCGCACAAGCAAACTAAATAAAAGTAAAACTTAGCTCGTAGATCCCCCAATTATGTTTATATTGTATGCTAATATGTATTAATTCTTCATTGCCATAACATGGCGATCTTCCCTTGTGCTGCACAATCGAATCTTTCGCTATTACTATTGTGTAATCGTCCCAGCCTCAATATCAACAGAGCTGTGTCGTAAGTAACTTTCGAAGTGGATGACTCACACCTATATGTAAGTAGAATAAGAGCAGCGTGCAGTGAGCCTTTGCTCAGAAAAAGTAATCAACTCACGAGTAAAATGAGGGAAGAGTAATACATTTTTGAAGGTAACTGCACCGTTATTAAATCTATATATATATATATATATATATATATATATATATATATATATATATATATATATATATATATATATATATAACAGAGTCGTGTCTGTTCGAACACTTATAAGTCGAGAACGGCTGGACAGATTTTTATAGTTTTTGATTTGTTGTATTTGTATTCGTCCAAAATAACTATTAACACCATTGGAATTCTAATTTCAAAGTCAAAAGCTTGTATGAAAACTCGGAATTGTAAACCGATGACAAATGAACAAATAAACCGAACCAGATTTTTCTGTCAATCCATTCAGTCACTCACGTCGTCCAATTTTTGTCCGCCCAAGGGGACACTCTGCAATGGGAAAAGTTTTGATAGCCTCAAAATCATCATCTGGGACGAATGCAGAATGGCACACAATCGCGCATTGGAAGATCTTGATCGAACCTTAAAAGATCTGCGCAATGACTCGAGAATTTTTGGTGACTCAATGATTTTACTATCTCGCGATTTCCGCCAAGCTCTGCCAGTCATTCCAAGATCGACTGCTGCGGATTAATTAAATGCTTGTATCAAATCCTCAAATCTGTGGTGCTATGAATGTGAAGAAACTTCAATTGACAGAACATATGAGACTTGCATTGTTGAACGAATCATTCGGATTGATTTCCAACGAATTTGTGCAATTTCGTATCATCGAAAGACGAGCTCATCAGCAAAGTGTTCCCGGACATTATTGCTAACCACAAAAAAACCAAATGGTTAAGCGAGCGAGCAATTTTGGCGACAAAGAATAAAGATGTGAATGACTTCAACATTATAATTCAGAATGAAATCATTGGTACTCTGCATATATTCAAATCTATTGATTGTGTAATAGACGAAGATGAACCCACTAACTATCCAATTGAATTTTTTAAACTCGGTAGTCATCAGACTTCGAAACGTGCTTGGTGATAAGAACACTGATGATTAATAAGATTCACGCGAATTCAGAATAAAAAAAAATAAACTTGACCTGCCTAGGGCCGAGTTTGGTTATTCTAGCTCTTGTACCTTCAGAGATCCTTGCGCTCATCCAGTCGGACATATCCTTCTCAATAATATATATACTCTGTGGGGTCTGCCACGCCTCCTTCTGTGTGTTATATGTATACACTCGCACAAAACTAATATGTATATCCTTTTTAACTTTTGGCAACAGGCTATAAAAATTTCTATTCTTCGTGAACAAAACGTAAATCATTAAAATCTGTCGCAGGTACCTCCACTAACGGCAAACTGAACAAATTTGACAAATAAATTCTCATGTGAATAGCCTGCTTTAGGTAGACCACTTGTGAGTAGATTGAAGTTGAAAATATATATGTTGCAAGCGATACAGCCCTAAAAGTATGCAATGAAAATACATAAGAGCCAATGATTCCACACTTCGCGAAAAATTTTGCAAACAAGCGCGTAAGTAGGATTTCAGATCATCACCACAACATATGGTGAGTTTATTATCGGCTTAAGATCGAAACGGTTGATATGTCAATCGAAAGGCATTAAAACACATATCAGAATACGAATTCAGTATTTAATTGAGTTCACTATAACAATACTTTATAAAAATGGTATTTTTGGAAAGGATCAGAACATCTTTCGACCATCTTTCCGCCCAAATCGATATCCAACAAGTGGATAGTGTCGCGTGTCCCGACTTTGAAATACTCTGTACATACTTGTATGTGTTGAATAATTATGCTTGTCTATGCGTGCTTGTGTGTGTCTCTTCGGACTGTACAAAGCAGCAACCACAATAACAGCTGCGGGCAGTGCTTGGCCTAAGATTATATACATACGTATATGGCTATACTTCCTGTCAAAACATAATGAAGTTTGGCACACGGACTTATAATCACTAACGGAAGGTACTTGCCAAATTTGAATGAAAAATACGAATTACGGGTGTTATAGAAAATAACTATTTGGAGGGTAATTCCAAAATACACATTTTCTGCAAATTCAAATTAGGCATCTTGGACTAAAATGTTAGTCTCCGAGATATAGGTGATTATACGAACGGCGTTTCCGAAAATCCCTCATAGGGGGAGGGGGAGATCAGTATTGGTGTATCTAGCTCTTATAGTCTCTAAGAACCAGATGTTCATACGGACGGACAGACGCACAAGGCTATATCGACCCGTCTTGTCATGCTGATCATCAATATACATATATAAGTACTTTGTAGAGTCTGCGGGGATACTGCTTAGCTGCTACTGTAACTTTATAAGAATACAAGCAGAGATAATTAAATAAATAATAAATTACATCTTTTTCTTTATTTCTGATCATGGCCAGGGTATTTATTAGTATTTCGAATGCAGAGCTGCTCTTTCAGATATGCAAAATAACCTTTGAACTATTCGTAACTTGGATATAGGTTTAAGCAAATAAACCTAGAAAAACACAAATTTTTATTTAATTCATTTATAACGGTTTTATTTATTTAATCATAAAGTTAGTACACATTTATTAGTACGGTCGTTTGCTTAGGTTTATATAATGAAGATATTTTGCGACTTTAGAACGCATGATTAAAAGTTGCTTGCTGTTTGGTTTGTTTTATGGCCCAGTTCGCGCAGTTAGACCCATGCACTACATAATTTGATGTGTTTTTTTATAATGTAGTTTAATCAAAGGTAAAATACCTTTTTAATATTTTCCATTTTTTACCATTAGACTTGCAGCTGCAGGCGCAGAATAAATTAGTAAGAGAAAAATAGAGTGCAGGTATAGCTTAAAGGAGCTCAGAGTGAAGAATAATTTCTAAATACAAATCCATCTCCAGAATTCATCGAGTTTTATGTAGTTATAGGGTATCTGGGTTTGGCAAAAGAGCATGCACGCTGTTACCTAATGAGCGATTTAAGAGAAACGCAATCATTTATTAGAAACCACATCAAAACCAATCCGCAGCAAATTCGATACCATCGGGCATAGTTTAGCCAATTTATTTAACCTTCTGAGCGTTCAACGGATTGCCAATAAATCAAAAGCTGAAAACTACAATCAGTTGGGTGGATTGTATAATTCGCATCGCTGCCATATGGGAGACTCTCAGGTGCTTCTTTATGGTCCGATCAGCTGTGAATCGATTAAACGATTGAGCGGTGCGAATGAAATCGTTTAACTGCCATATTGCCAATTATTTTGGCCCGGCTTGTGGCTGTCCCGAGCATGGCTAATTAGGCAGTTGAATTCGGTGAAAAACACAACGGAGAGTAGGAGGTCTGCTTGTAATTTATCGAATTTCCTATCATTTGAAGACGATGGCGGCGCTTCTTTGGTATATTATTTCTACTGATCTGCTATTTGCATTCGACCAAGGCGGCTTTTAAGACTTAATTAGAGCAAGAACATTAATCATGACACCAAAAATAAAACGAAGAATGCAAAGGCACAGCATCACTGATGAGGCCCTTTGGCTCACTTTTGACGCAAAGGCAGACCAAGAGCTAGAGGAAAAGCAATTACCGACAGTTCGGCAACCGTCTACGTCTTTTATTTTCCAGACTAGGCACAGTGGTTAAATGCTAATAGCTTTGTATAAAATGAGATGACATAATTACGTTTATTTTTTAGGATGCGCAATGCCACAATATTTAAGAAGAAAAATTTCAATTTTGTAACAATTAACATTACAAAATAGTATCTAATTGAAATTATTAATTTTAGTTCAAAAAGTATTAAGGTAAGCTTTAATGGCAAAAGCTTTGTTGTTTATTAATTTTTGTGCGTACCATTATTGTATGCTTAAAATGTCCAGATTGTTCCAAGAACTTGAATTAAAAGCAACTTTCGATTAAGAAATGGGTGTGGCCACAACGCGTTATTCAACTCCTATCTTAATAAACTTTTTGGAAATCAAAATGTGTTTAAAATATTTTATTGTGAATTGCCTTTAAATTTTGATTATCCAACCAGCATTCTTAATGTCCAAGACTAAATTCTTCCAAGACATATAATCGCATATACTTGTAAATATGTAATAGGCTATAACTCTCAAAAGGCTTGCACTTACAAATTTAGGGGTAAACAATTTATTTATTTGATAAAAAATGATTCAGTTTTGAAAAAGGGCTTACCAGTGTGCGAAGTCCGCAGGCAGACCCCCCATGGCCCTCGGCGACAGCTCTTGTCAAACAGATGCATAATACGAGTATATACCCGTATATGTCAAACAGAAGTAGCTGAGACTCACATAAAAATGTGTCGAGGCACAAATATTGACAGAAAAAAAATACCAGTGGAAAAATGCAAATAACATGCGACGCGAGACGATCGTTCGAATCAAAATTAAATTATTGTGTCCACTGTTTACAATCTCTTTACCAATTTCAACCTTGGCCTTACACACATTCAATCAGCGTTTGAACTTCGAATCGGCGTCGGTGCCGAAGTCATTGATGAGATTGAGATGCACGGAGACAAAGGCCCGAAGACAAAGCGCAGCAAACGGCACCTAAATGCCGCTTGGGCCAAACAATGTCACAGCGGTAAACCTTAGACTCGGACAAATGGGTGAATTGGGCAAAATTGACTGCGAAAAGATCAACCACAAACACAACGTCTCAATTCGGCAGTTTCCTTCATACATACTACATTACCATATACACGTACATACATACAAGTATGTATGTGGTATGTATCTACTT